TTCTTCTTGAATCTTGACGTAACTATTCAATGGCACCTCCTTTCTAACACCTTTGCGTAGAATTTACCTGGGAGGCTCAATAACGTCATGCCCCTATGGTTGGAGCATTCCTTCTGGTCTCCCTTCTTGAACACGGGTACAATAACTCCCGTTCTCTAGTCCGCTGGTGTCTTTCCCGCAGTCATCGCAGTTTGACAGACACGTGTAAGCGAACACATGCCTTAATCGCCAAATACCATGGGAATTTCAGGGCGGATTTCATCAATCCCAGCAGCTTTTTCATTTTTCAAACTTTTCACAGCTTACGTAATTTCATGTACAAGCGAGTTTTCTTGAGGTTGCTCGGGAGATAAGGAGTTGCTTAAAGTATTCTCTGCATCGTCGAAGAAGGCCTCCACCCACTGAGGTTAAGAATTCCATATCCTTTGCGTTTCGCTGAAGAGAATCCAACAATCCCGAGTTATTTTATGACCTTATCGACTAACTCTTGTTCTTCTCCTTTGAATGAGTACAGATACCAATTTCTGACTTTTAGCTGTCATTGCTGATGTCGTTCTCGTGGATCCTTTTCTGATGTCCTATAATGGCATCGCGCTGTCTGCCTCCACTGGTCAGAACGGGTAGCAACTCCGTTGCTGACTGGTATCGTAGTCGTCGTTCCTCGTCAGCCTTGTTGTGCTGCTACGGCCCCCCCTCCGGCTGGCAGAGGGCAATGAGCAAGCTCTGAAAGTCGACTTTTCGCAGCCTCTCAAGAGCCTGCGCTGCCCTTGATAGCCTAAGCGACGACCGAGCCGATGTAATTTTCAATGCGTCAATACCATGAGTGGCAGATGGCGACGTTTAAGAGATTCCGCAACGGTGTCCGAACCTCCTCTTTCACCGAGCTTGGGACCAGCAAGCGCGAAATTTTCGTGAAACGTGCTGAAATGGGTCATTTTGTTGAAATTGTTACATAAATGCTGTTTTATTTTTATTACTATGCAGAATCCTTTCTGAGCAGATTAAACGCTACTAGCAGGAATACACAAAATTTCTCTTGTTATACTCTTTAATATCTGTCTTTAAGCAATTGTGAGTGCAAATACCGTTTAGTTTGTTGCAAAGTGGGAGAAAAGTTAACAGAAATCATACGGTGTAAATTTGTCTTCACAAGAGTTAAACAATGTGGAGGAAGTGTTAGAATCTTTACATATAGTCTTCACTTAAGAATCAACTACAGCGAAATCATAACTTAGAGTAAATAAGCAATTTAACACTAAATATGGAGAATGATCAAGTTAAATCTGTTAGGTTTATTCTTACCATAACTTCGATCAGCTAATGAATGAGGTATGCTGCAATAATTGCAAGTACTGCATTATGGGGTGTCCAAAGCCTGGTTTCGCTGCCGGAAACACCGTTCTTCCGTCATAACTTACCGATATTGAAAATGACGCATCAACCGTTAATAAAACATTACAACTGGTATCTTGCGCTTGAGTGCTGTAATCATGCATTAAAATTGCTTAATTCACATATAGTACTTTTAAAAGCAATCCAAGTACGATGTCTAAAAACACTGTTGCGGAACTTATCAAAGAACCATGCATAAAGCGATCAACTGTTGAGGTAATTCGCTTTTAAATCTTTAAAACAAAGCAAAAATTTTGGCAATTTCAAATAACCGTATGTCTCGACTAAATACCCTGCACATTGTAAGTTCGAAATACTATTTCTAGTTGCATTAGCATTTCGAATTAGTTTCCACTTAGCACACCGATAACCAATGTGAATAACGTAAACAAAATTACAGAAAAGCAACAACTAATGTTCAGATGTAAATCATCAACAAGAGTGCAAGCAATCGAAGAAAAGAGCAGCCTGCGCAAATGACAAGATAATACGAACAAGCAAAATGTTCAGAACTTCCAAAGGAATGAAAACCGGATGAAAATACGATTGTTGTCCTAATTATTCAGAGGTCACAACATCAGTAAACAGAAGTACGCTCCTCAATGAGCGATTATGCCTAAGTTCACAGCTGCACACGGCAAAATGAACTGAAGTAGTGATGGCAGTGTAAAATTCACGTGCAAATCAAAGGGAGTGAATCATTTAAAAATATGCCTTCTATTGTCAGTCTCCCTTGCAAGTCGCTGCCAGAAATGGAACGAGAAATATAAGTGCAGTGTACACCATCAGTACGTTCATAATGGCATTCTTTTTTAAAGACCATTCAAGATTCTTTTCCGTCCGGTTTAGCAGTTTCTCCATTTCCGGCCCAACGTACACAATGGTGCCAGCGTCCTCGACGGAATAGCCGTGCTCCGCGGCGATCATCTTTTTGATTTGATCCATCTCCCCATTGACGTTTGCGTTCTGCTCCCGAATAGTCTCGATGATCTCTTCGTACTGTTTCGTAGACAACAGTGTTTCGATGTCCTGGTTGGAGCGCGGTTTAACGGCAGCACCATCGCACATATTCAACATCGTCTATAAGCAACACTTCTGCAGAAACAAAAATAACCTTTATAAAAATGAACAACATAACAACATATAACGTAAACGCTATAAAACTGTGATCGACGCAAAAAGACGCTTTTTCAAGATTTTTCATCGGATTCATTAAAAGATGAAAAGCCCTAGTTAAAAGTCATTCCGTTGGTTTTGGATGCCAGCTTGTTCTTTTAAAGAGATAGCAGGATAGCAGCGTCAGACAATATCCTCAACTTTCACCATCGTCACTGCTAATTGTTGAGGGTCGGATGAGATATCATGAGTTAGACCTAAGTCATACGCAGAGTCAACACCCAAGTAGAAAAACTTCTCTCCCAAAATGATTCAAACAAGGAAATACTAAACTACTTTCAATCGTAACATTCAATTGTGGAAAGTGAGACTGTATCGTACTGCCGCATTAAACCCCGTGTATGACATTATCCACTACTGTGATAATGAGAAAGTATATGGAAACTACCCAAAAAATGCGATCGCGAATACAGCTGTAGAAACGTAAGGGCAGTTCATGTGACGATGCTCGACAACTCTGAAAAAATTCAACCATAGATACCTCGCTTTGAGCAATATTTTTTACAGGTAGAGAAACAACAAGGTACGGCGTGGATAATTACTTTTGATAGCAAGCAAATATTTGCAGCACAGATGAAATTCGCCCAGAAATGGGCAAAAAGTAGATGTCATACAGCTTTAGCACATTTAACACTGGAGCTGTAAAGTCCAAGGATCTATTCGGTGGAGACTGCTGGAGTGGCAAGGAGCGGACTTGTTGGAAAAACTGCCTGAAGCTGTTGTTCCCTAACCCTCCAGTAAAAGTGGGAACTTCCGTTTCATCAGCCTCAGACAGAAAAATAATTGCCACTCTATACGAGAAGGCGGCTCCGGGCGTTGTTTCCGATATAATGGGATAAGAAGATCAGAAAAAGGAAAAATTTGCGGGAAGGAAGCAAACAGCCAAACACTAAAATGGCTATCAAACGGTCGTTGAACGAGGCTCTGGTGAATTATTATAAAATGCCTACAGGTGATCATAATCACGTGTTTGGGAAGTGCCTGCCAGTGTTAAGCATGAGTTTCCCACCTTGGAAACCAATGGTGACCTCTGATTCAAAAGGCAGTATCTGCTAACCTTGGAGAAACGTTGCTGCTCTACCTCGTTCTGCGTCATCCTTATTCCAAAATAAGTACAAAACGAGAAACCATCAGACGTAGGAACTGAAATTACTGCACCAGGGTTTATGCCCCTAGTTCTCGTTGACTCGAGGATATTCTTCTGATTGGTGTAAAGGTTGCCTCTTAACTAGGCGCACATGATAATATACAATTATATAGAGAAAGCGGCTATGACAGTAGCACACATATAGAGACAAGCAGTTATGCCTATAATTCAAACGTATGCGCAGCAGCTATTACCTACGCTGCATAAATAAACCTGTGGATGGTAGATGTATAAAGTGCAGGATATATCGTGTCTTCGTTTAGTCACAGTAGAATAAAAAGACCCATTATTTTAAAAGTTACTATTTTGCAGAAAAAGGCTGCTTTGCCAAAGACTATCAGCCACAACATGAAAAGTGAGAATGAAATAAAAATAACAGGTAAAGACAAAAACAATGAAACATACGGAAATCTGCGACTTCAGTTCTGACTCCAGTACCTTTAGATCTCCAACAAAGGTCGTCACCTGCTGCTGCTGACTGGCCACTACGTTCGCCAGTTGACTTAGGATTGTTTCCATTTGCTGAGGATTGGTCGACTCGCGAACGATCGTCTTCAGTTCATTCATTCGTTTCCAATTGTTGATCGTCGTACCACCAATGCCGATCAACGCGCCCATAATTGAACCGATAATCGACCAGTATTTGGTTCGTTCTACCCGTTCGCGCTCCTTTTCGTGGCTCTCACGCAGACGCGAAGAGAGCATGCTGAAGGACTCGCGCTCGGCCAGCTCTGTCAGTCTGAACCGTTCGTACAACGATTTCTCATTCTTGATGACCGCATGCTCCTCAGTCAGTAGTTGCAAGTAGCGATCCTCACTTCGAGGCGTGCGATCCAATTCAGAGCGAATCTCCTTCCTCCTCTCCTGAACCTGGTGCATCTCTGTCTGAATTTGTCTTCTCTGATTCTGGAACTCACTGAACTTCTTCTCTGCCTATAACGAAAGGCACGAAATTAAAGTTTCATATTTCCAATACAAGCAATCACATCAGACAAAAAAATACTGTAATTTTAAGAATTGTAGATCTATTCATTGTAGATCTTAGACCGTCGACCATGCATCCTGAGTTCTAAGATCCTTTGCGTACAGCATTCATAATAGTACTGCTAGAGTACGAGTATCAATAATGCAACTCACAAATTCGTTGTCCATTAAAGGTGCTCCAATCAGTGCAGAAGATAGTTTACATATTCATGACCGAGCACCGTTGAACTGGACCAGAGCAGAAGGCATCACAACCATTCACGTGTGATCTACCTTTTTGGAAAGTGCGACTAAAGTAAGATGAAAAAAATGGCTGCAAATCAGAGGAGGAGGAGAACCAGAACAGTACTTAATATTTCCACCGCGCCCATTTCTTTATGCCGCTACAAATCTTGCCATCTATGTGGATCGCCGTTTTCTGTCACACGTCTAAAGATGGGATTTGGGTTATGAGCAAATCAAATAAGATGATTATTAACTTTAACCTTAAAGTTTCATAGCAATACGAATTGCTACAGAACATTAATCAGGCAAAGATGCGTAAAATAAACTGATACGAAAAAATGAACTTTAAATGTTACACAGTAAAGTAATTGCCTACTACTGCTACAACTGTAAAACAACTGAAGTGGGAGATATTTTCAATTTACGGCTATTTACATACCTAAACCAGCAGCATGATCAGTCAAGGCACTTTGTAGAGAAAAACTTGGACAGTGAACATTACTAAAATTGCCCTTAAGTTTTGCAACGTCCAACACACTGTCATACTCATTCAATATTTCGCAGATCATTAAGAATGTAGTATCAATTAGAATTGTTACTGCTGACATCGATACAACGAACTTTACATTATAGCTGCCATGAATGACGTATCCAGAACAATTCAACTAAAACAATATGAAGAATACAATGCAATGAAAAGAGTGAACACCTGTTCCACACTCAACCGACTTTAGCATGAACAATCAAAAATAATTTATTTCTATAGAGACATACCCAGATTTATGTAAATTCAGCAGAATTAAAGCAAATTATGTTGAAAAGGCTATGAAAACAAATTCCGAGTCATAAAAATTTTATCTAACGCGTCTACGTTACTCTCACGCCGTCAAAAGCAGTCTTCAGCTAGGTCAACCGGTGGCTGCATTTACGCTCTTTAGTCTTGCCTAGCTTACTACTGAACACGGAAGCGATGAATATTTTTATTCATAAACTTCAATAATTTTAGTAATTGCCTACGCTGTTGCAGTCAGTCATGACCAAAAAAAACAGATGTGGAAATAACCTGCACAGTTTAAACACGTGACAGGATATGATGAACGGACCCGGTGGATTTACTGTAACCTGCGTAACATTCGTGTTACGTAAAAGTTTCTGCAACGAAGCTTCTACATAAATCGGGTCTACTTGTATTTACTTATAAGCTGTGCCTATCGCACCGCACAAGTATATGCTCAATTGTAACCATACATATCCGTATGTTAGAAGTCCTTTTCTTACCTCGAGAACATTATTCTGGGCCTCGCGGACGCTGGTCAGCCCAATAATAGTTTCGTACCTCTTTACAACACTGCTGACGACTGACCATATCGAAAATTTCGGAACATGCTTCACAGCAGATACCGACATCGTGAAGAAAAATAAAATAACGTAAAAGACCCACCAACAGTCGAAATCTAAATAAAAACGTAACAAATGAAATTATTTAATTTCTAAAAAACGCTGCTAAATTTTGGTTCGAAAAATGGGCCGCGAAATCCAACTAGTTCATAACAGCAAATAGAAAATAAGAAAACGTAGAATTCAAAGCAGGGAGTAAAAATGACTTACACTGAAAAAGACGAAAAGGGGGAAGAGAAAAAGACAGAAAGAAAGAAAACTCCGTAGTACAGCAAGCCGTCGCGCGTATTTAATGCAGACTGATCTAAGATCGGCTTGATAATTTATGCTGGTCTACAATTAAAGAAGTTTCATATTCTGCTTCAAAATATCATGCCTATTTTTCGTATTGGTAAGATCGACCTGGGGAAAACTGTTGACCAGGTAGCGTCAACTACGATGCATAATGCCCGGGGGGACTTGGTGACTCGTTTTTGGAGGATGACAATCATCGTTTATGCGTGACATTAAAACAAACATTCCCTTCACTTTCGCCACCAAAAGCAATACTGATCTGAGACACCGTTCATAAAAATTAGATATCATCAATCTGGGTCACTGTGCCGTCATTTAGCCTTTGATAACGATCATATAACAACCGGAAGTGAAGTCAATGTAATTCCAGCTAGCACTGACGTTTATCGTAGATCAATACTGTTTTTCTTGTATAGGATGCTAAGGAATCAGCAGGAACAGAAACTTATTAATGTACAAAGCTCGCAGTCACAACGCTCCTGGTCCTGAGTTATTCTGTGGTTACATTATGCATTATATTTAATAGAAATACTGTGAAGATAGCAAATATATTTTTTATATAGCGAACAAACTTTTCTACTTCTGCCCTTTTCTCAGCGCAAAGGAAGCTGTTCTCATATAAGACTGCGGCAACCTATGTTATGTAGATGGATTCTACACATGACTGACTCCCGTAAAGAGCAACTCTTAGCTACCGTTTCCTCAAATCTCAGAATATAAGCTAGGGTCCTTTCTCTCCACAAGGGCAGATCGGCCTCTAAATAAAGTTTCTGGCTAACCAAGGTCAATCGAAGAGCGTAAATAATAATGTTACTGTTCAACATGTGATCCGGCTATGCCATTCGGATGCAAACAAGAGGCGGTGGTAATTTGACGTGTATCGCATGTCCGCATGCAGTCCTTAATAATCAATTCACTAGCTGAGGAAGCCACTTGTTCGCTCTCCCGAATATCAATTTCTGTAGCAAGGCTCTTTCGGTCTACTTTAGCAGTTTTGGTATCAAAGGGGTTAAAAGGAATGAAATTATTGCAACAATACGAAACTCGCGTCCTCAATGTTTTTTCTCAGTGACTGACACATGCATCTGAAGGTTGCAATGAAGATCGCTTATGTATAAAGAAATATGTTCAAGCAAGACATAACTGTCTAAATAGGACGGTGGTCAAAAGTGAGGGATGCAGTGCTAGGAGAAGCGGAAAACAGCCGCAGGCTTATCATACATACTGTCGAGAACTCAAGATCCATCTTTATTTTACTGCCAACGCTTTGGTAGGCCAATATTCGAAAATATCAGTTAGCTGAACTGTTGGCTGCTTGACAGACTATTGTTGTTCTTATAACTGTCGAACCCTAGCAATCATTTATCACATATGATAAATCGTATCCGACCATTTTCCCGCCATACATTACGTAATTACTCGATCCAGATTGGACACTTAAATGGCACTCAGCCGTACAAGTATGCAACGGGAAAGAAGGAAGGTTAAAACTCCTGTCAAACTCACACATATGTCAGTGGCAAGATGCACAAAAGAAAAAGAAAGAAAAGTTTGTCACCACTAGAGTGACGGTGTTTGTTCATTTTTATGACCCTTTTGGCGCTCTTGTTTTCATGAAGCTGCTGGTTCAATGCTGATCTCCGTTTTCTATGCCTTCCGCCAGGAGTGCGTTATCTTTAGAGACAGAATCTACGGATATGTGGTATGCACGGGTCGTAATTATCTGTTTCCTTCCCACAGAGTCGGACTCATTTATCAACCTCGAAAGGAAGGGTGAGTGACCCCGACCGGAACTTAGTTCTAAATTTAACGCCCTACCGATGAGCAACGCAGATCTGAAGCAATGTGTAGTAAATTTCTAGCTCAAGGCAATTCGCCAATAAGACAAAGATTGCCATGAGCGCAGTCTAACTCCTAGGCATTGTGCCACCATGTAACACAGGATGATACAGACATTTCAGCTACTCTTCTGTTTACAAACTGTATTTAATATTAGAGAAGACAGACAACACAAGATTGTAACGCAATTGGCACACAAACAGAAAAAAGGATGAATATCATCTAACGCAAGTTCATGAAATACAGATTCAAAAAGTCGGCAAATGCATGTCATTCTAAGTTTGTACATCGAACACCAGATTTTTCTAATATATTCCTAATGACAAAGAATAATAGGCCCAACTGCGTTATGGCGCTGACCATTATTCGCAGACAGCTGCAACAAAATCATCAGACTTGAGCCAGGTACGTAGCTCAGCTTGCCGATGAGAGATGGTCGGCGATGACTGTCGACTGATACCCTCACGAGCGCAGTAGATTTGCTCGTTTACTGCAAGGTGGTCAGAAGGTTACATCAAGAGCAGGGAAAGACAATCTTGAACGGAGAAGGTTGGAAACCGCGAGAAACGGCAAGTGTGTTGCAGCCGAAGCGATTCATCGTCGATGACGGACCGGTCCGAGCGAATAAAGATGCCTACAGTGCGCCACAGACAACGCTATTGCAGCATCTGCAGTGCTATAGATGTATCTTGCTTCATTTTTTGGCTAAAGGAATATCTTTATTAGTAAGATTCACATTTAGGAGCTGGCAGTGATTTGTTCTTAAACAGGGGCTTACACGATTAGTTCAACCTAAGAATTTTGATATAACACCTGAATATCCATCAATTTGTACATGCATACCACGACCTCTATTTCAAACTATATTAATGCCTAAAATACTGTGGAAACAGAAGGATGAACTCATAATTCGATGAAAGTAAGCAAACAAACAAAACGTGTTATGTGCGTATATTTCTAAAGTAATCAAACGATGTACTCTTGTTAATTGATCATTTTGCAAAAGTTAAATTAGATGATGTGGACAGATGAAAAAAACAGGCACACGCAAAATGCTAAAGAGTTCAGTTTGTAAAACCGCACGACTTAACTCCACCAAGGTATATATGATTTACGATAAGATCAATAATATGAAAGGCTGTAAGAACAAATGGAAAAATAAATCTAACAAGGTGGCAAAATCACAGCTACGTGCGCGAGAGCCGATACTACAAATAACAATTTGTTAAGCGGCGGAAGACAGAGCTGAAGAGTAGCGACAACAAGGAACAATTTTTTGCACGTGAATCGAACAACTTTTTTCTACTTCGTACTAAAGTGCCAAAAAGTATTGCGCTGTGGTGCGTGTCTAATGATGACGGAAAACACGGCACATCTCGCGCCATCTGATGAACGAAAATTCAAGGTAAAAAAATGATTCGCACAGAGAAGTCATTGCGAGCATCTACAGTTTTAATGGTCGAGGTCCAGACGACCCAGGCTTCAGTGACAAAGGTTAAACACTGGCTAGTTATATATATATATATATCGTCAGTCGATCTCTGTCTCGAATTTTCCATCACTACTAAAGACGATTCCGAGGAACTTTAAGTTTTCCACCTGCTCGACTGCCCCTCCGTTAAACTCAAGAACAACGGCTAGAAAAACGAGAAGGCACTACGCTTTACGTTTAAGATGCGTTCACACGAATGGCGATCAAGTCACACTAGGATGCGAACCTTTCCAGGGAGCACGGTAGATCAGTTTCAGAAGATGTTAATAAAACAAGGTCGTCTGCAAACAGCAACCTTCTCGACTTAACATCTCCTACAACGATACCCTCATCGCCTTGGCAGCTCCTGACTATTCAATTCATGTACAACAAAAACAGGACGCAGCCTTGGCGGAGACCAGTGCCAACGTTGAAGGGTTTTGACTTAACGCCATCAACTCTGACGCAGCACCTGGATGGCCCTTAGTGGCAGTTGACCATCAATCTGGTATGCTTGAAGGCATGTTCACAGACTGCTGCGCCGGATCCGGTCACAAGCTTTCACTAGGTCAATAAAGCACATGTACACCGAACGGGCGACTCCCACGATTTCTCAACAATCTGGCACAGGACAAATATATGGTCACAGGTGCTTCGACCGGGCCCGAAGCCACATTGCTCTTCTTGTATCTTGAGGTCAACTATTTCACAGCACCTTCTTTCTTGCACCTTTGCGTAGACTTTACCTGGGAGGCTTAATAACGATATGCCCAGATTTAAATGAAGCATCCCTATGGTTTCCCTTCTTGAACAAGGGTACAACAATCAATGTTTCTCCAGTTCGCTAGTGTCTTCACCGTAGCCATTGCAGTTTGACAGACAGGTGCAAGCCAGCACGTGCCTTGTTCGCAGAATGGAAAATTTCAGGGCGGATTTCATCAATTCTAACAGCCTTTCCAGCTTGCAAGCTTTTCACAACCTGTCATTTTACATAGAGAAAGAGAAAATATCCGTTTCCTGGTGTTCTAGAGGTGAGTATTCCTGCGGTTGCTCGGGGTTTTAGGAGTTCCTCAAGGTACACTTCCCAAAGTCAGAAGATGTCCTTATCCTCGGTAAGAGGGTTCCAATTCTATTCTTCAAGACTCTTAGACTTCCCTTCATTTCACATCGGAGCCGGCAGATGGTCCGCCAGAACATCATGTTTGCCGTCTAAAAATTTGACTCCAACACTTTACCGAACTTCTTCAAGGAACCGAAGGAATCAGCTTTGGCTTTCGCTGCTGCTTTCGCAGCCGCCTTGAGCGCTTCGACATATCAGATGCGAGTAGAAGGCTCTTTGTTTCCAAGCCATTTCTAGAATGCAGCCTTCTCCATAACAGCCGGTTGTACCGCTTGTGTCCATCGG